GTGGTGGGGGCGGGGGGGGGGGGAGGGCCACGGAGTGGGGGGGCCTGACTGGAGTGACACCCTCCCCCCCACACACACACACTTGCCTGCCTCCCCTTTAATCAGTTAAGCAACGTGTTTCACCAGTTAACCGATTAAATGGGATTTTACATCCCTAGCGTACACTAGAGCAGGTTTGCCAGTCAACGTGAATCGCTTAGGTCCACAGAGAGCTATTACTGGACCCAGTGATACAACCGTTCTCCTGTGGATGCTGCTATACTGGTATAAAAAGTGCTAATATACCAGAAGAGCTTGTTCCTATATGGGTAAGGGAACAAGCCAAACTGGGGTTGTACCAGTATTCTCCCAAGCCTAGTTATTTGATATTTTTTAAAAAAGAGTTTCTATGAATCATATGGATGTTTACTGTTAAGCACTTTTCCTAATTGTGAGACATTACAGGGGCTGGGATCATGCAAGGAAGCGTCACAATTTAACGAGAGGAGATGCTGAGATTCATAAAGGTAAAGCTTTATCCGGTAAAACCAACACAAAAGATCACACTCACGTCAGAACCACGCCCCAAATACCCTTCCAGTCAACTCCAACGAGTTCTCTGCAGCATTTCTCTCACTTCACCTAAGTTTCAGTTATTATTCATAGAATCATAGAATAATAGGACTGGAAGGGACCTCGAGAGGTCATCGAATCCAGCCCCCCGCTCTCAAGGCAGGACCAAGCTCCGTCTACACCATCCCTGACAGATGTCTATCTAACCTGTTCTTAAATATCTCCAGAGAGGGAGATTCCACCACCTCCCTTGGCAATTTATTCCAATATTTGACCACCCTGACAGTTAGGAATTTTTTCCTAATGTCCAATCTAAACCTCCCCTGCTGCACTTTAAGCCCATTACTCCTTGTCCTGTCCTCAGAAACCAAGAGAAACAAATTTTCTCCTTCCTCCTTGTGACACCCTTTTAGATATTTGAAAACCACTATCATGTCCCCCCTTAATCTTCGTTTTTCCAAACTAAACAAGCCCAGTTCACGAAGCCTGGCTTCATAGGTCATGTTCTCTAAACCTTTAATCATTCTTGTCACTCTTCTCTGTACCCTTTCCAATTTCTCCACATCTTTCTTGAAATGTGGCGCCCAGAACTGGACACAGTACTCCAGCTGAGGCCTAACTAGTGCAGAATAGAGCGGCAGAATGACTTCACGAGTTTTGCTTACAACACACCTGTTAATACAACCTAGAATCATATTTGCTTTTTTGGCAACAGCATCACACTGTTGACTCATATTCAACTTGTGGTCCACTATGACCCCTAGATCCCTTTCCGCCATGCTCCTTCCTAGACAGTCGCTTCCCATCTTGTATGTATGGAACTGATTGTTCCTTCCTAAGTGGAGCACTCTGCATTTCTCCTTATTAAACCTCATCCTGTTTACCTCTGACCATTTCTCTAACTTGCTAAGGTCATTCTGAATTATGTCCCTATCCTCCAAAGAAGTTGCAACCCCACCCAGTTTGGTATCATCTGCAAACTTAATAAGAGTACTCTCTATCCCAATATCTACATCATTGATGAAGATATTGAACAGTACGGGTCCCAAAACAGACCCTTGAGGAACTCCACTTGTTATCCCTTTCCAGCAGGATTTAGAACCGTTAACAACAACTCTCTGACTACGGTTATCCAGCCAATTATGCACCCACCTTATCGTGGCCCTATCTAAGTTATATTTGCCTAGTTTATCAATAAGAATATCATGCGAGACCGTATCAAATGCCTTACTAAAGTCTAGGTATATGACATCCACCGCTTCTCCCTTATCCACAAGGCTCGTTATCCTATCAAAGAAAGCTATCAGATTAGTTTGGCATGACTTGTTCTTCACAAACCCATGCTGGCTATTCCCTATCACTTTATTACCTTCCAAGTGTTTGCATGGGTTAAACGTTGGGTTAACCTAGTGGTTAACCGAATAAGCAGGACCCGGGTGAGGGACCGTTCCAGCCTGGATGAAGCAGCCCCCGGCTCCCACATGGGGATGGAGCTAGCTCTGCCAGTTCCTGGCCCTCACCGGAGCAGCTCCTCCCTGCGGGGTACTCGGGCTGTACCCATTTCAGGCGATGCTTTCTGGTTAACCTTTCACATCCCTAGTTACCATGACACCTGGAAGCACCAGTCATGGCGAGAACCCCGTTGTGCTAGGTCGGGTTAAATATTGGGTTAACCTAGCGTTTAACCGGTTAACCGAATAAGCAGGACCCAGGCGAGGGACTGTTCCAGCCTGGATGAAGCTCCCACATGGGGGATGGGGCTGGCTCTGCCAGTTCCTGGCCCTCACCGGAGCAGCTCCTCCCTGCGGGGTACTCGGGCTGTACCCGTTTCAGGCGATGCTTACCGGTTAACCTTTCACATCCCTAGTTACCATGACACCTGGAAGCACCAGTCATGGCGAGAACCCCGTTGTGCTAGGTGCTGTACAAACAGAACAAAAGATCAGTCCCTGCCCCAAGGAACTTACAGTCTAAGACAAGAGACAGGAAACGGCTGCCGACAGACATGGGGAGTACCCGGAACCAGGGACAACGCTAGCCAATAGACGCCGCGGTCTCAGAAGACAGCAATGCCGTAGACACATTCCCCCCGGCACTTACTTGATGGGGTATGTCTCGTCTTTTCTTCTTTGCTTCTCCTTGGCCGGTATGGCCTCCCAGCCGAAGGTCAAACTCCAGTCAAAGTTACCCCGGCTGTGCTGTTTCCCGTATTGGATGGGCTTGGAAAACTCAAAGGTATTCAGGTCGATGGTGGTGATGTCCGGACTCACCACGGCAGTGGGCTCCTCGGCGATCCGGGATAAGAGAGGCTCCAGCCAGCCGTGGAAACACTCGCCTGAAAACACAGCATGAAAAAGGAGGGATTTTGACTCTACTCGTTAGACTGCAAGTCCCGATGGGCCCGGATTCAAAGGGGCGAAGCACACACAGGGCTAAGTGTTGACCTAGCTCTCGGCACAACAGACCCCATTTCTGCTCTGCGTAGCTCTGAGGGCTGGCGGGACGACGCAAAGGTGACAGGGACGGATCATTTGTCACAACCGGGGTTCCAAAGCGGAGGCCAGGCCGAAGGGCCCAGCTTTACTTACAGTGAGCGTCCAGGAAAGTCAGCACTTCTCCAGTGGCGACGCTGGCGCCCAGCAGCCGCGCCGTTATTAACCCTTTCCTCTCCTGCTGCCGTACCACTCGCACGATCTGCAGCTGCTTCACGTAGAGGTCCAGCTGGTCTTTTAAGTGGTCTGAAAGGGAGAGAGGGTATCGCAGGCCCCGTCAGCGCGGCAGGTCTGACCTCAGAAGGCCATTTTGCAAAGGCCAAAGCGCAGCTCCCACTTTACAGAGAAAGAATTGAAACCAGACTCCTATCCACTAGGCAACACTACCTCTCCAGGGAAGGAGGACTGCCTATCCTCAAGGTATCCCCCCTTCACCTCTTCCCTGAGCTCCTTTTGCCCAGGGCGAAGCAATTAGCTCTGCTGATGATCCGGAAGCATCAAAGAAAACCTCAATGATTTCCTGAGGTCTCTTCCAACCCCGATTCAAAGTTCTAAACCCACAGAACACACCGTGGAGTTGATACACTTGCATGGAACACAAATGGAAGCTCTGAACACCCCAAAATGTGTTAATTGCCCGGGCTGATCCTAGGTCTGATCCTCACAGAACACGCTAAATCCAGGACCATTTTCCAGCAATTCTAAAAATGAGAGTTTGTCACCCTCTTTCCCCCAGCCCTGTGAGGACAAAAAAATCACCCAATATTTTCTAGAGCCAAGGATTCAAAACAAACTTCCTTGACTTTCTTCCAGCTCCTGGCCCACTAAGGCTAAGTCTAGACCAGTGTTTATTTAAAAAAAAAAAAAAGGTTGAGAAAGTAAAGTACCCCCCCCTTTTTAAATTATAAGTACCCCCAGAACCTACAGTTTTCAGACACAACATTTTTTTCTACCATTGCAACACATGTGTTTAAACAACTTAATCGTAGCCGGGCGAGTGATGACATTGAGTAAAAAGTACAAAAATAATAAAGCGCAGGAAAACTTAAAACAAAAATTCAGTTTTCGCCAAATTTCAGTTGTGTTGACGTACTCCCCAGACTTCTCTCGAGTACCCAAGGGTACTCATACTACTGCTTGAGAAACACTGGTCTAGACTACGGGGCTTTATTGGAAAAAGCTTTTTCCGATTGCTTTTCCGGAAGAGGCTTTTCCACCATTTGGCCCAGTCTAAATGAGACCAAATGGCAGAAAAGTCTCCTCTTTCGGCAGAGCCCTTATCCCTCATGGAATAAGATATACAGGACTCCCCAAAAGGGCACATTTGTTCTTCCACTTGTTTCCGCGGAAGAACAAACGTGCTCTCTGAACGCAGTGGGGTTTTTCTGGGATACCTCTGGTATCCCAGACAACCACCATAGTATAGATGTAGCCCAAGAGTCAGGTCTAGCTTGAGACAAAACATGGAAAAAGAATAAAAGATGCCTCCCACCAAAAAAAACCAACCCCCCCCCCCAAAAAAAACCACACTTTTAAAATTTATTCAAGTGAAAGTGGGCCTTGGTGTGGAATGCACCCTACCCCGTGAACAAAGGGGCTCTTCCTGAAGCTGAAATCTCTCCTGCTTTCTCTCCCATCAAAGGGTGTGTCCAGACTAGAGGGTTTTTTTCAAAAGAAGTGGCCTTTTTTCAAAAAAAAACTTCCCCTGCATCTCGACTGATGTCTCATTCTTTCGAAAAATCGAAAGAACGTGGCAGTTTTTTTGACCGCAGAAAACCTCGTTTTACAAGGAAAAACGCCTTTTCTCGGAAGTGCTCTTTTGAAAAAAGGCGCTATGTAATGCAAACTGTGCTTTTTCGAAAGAGAGCATCCAGACTGCCTGCAGCCTGTCATACACTTATTCTTCCAGCACCTGTCAGGCAGGGCAGTGCTGGTATCCCCATTTTACAGATAGAAACAGAGGCAAAGGAACTTGCCCAAGGTCATACAGGCAGCCTGTGGCAGAGAAGGAATTGAACGCAGACATCCGCGAGTTCCAGCTAATAGCCGGACCATAGTTCTGGGTTTCTGCAGCATGAAAACAAAGCCTTAGAGCCCATCACAAGCAGGGAAGGATGCTCTTGCGGCACCTCCGAAGTCTGAACCTGGCCCCCCGGCTCTTGTGAGCGGCAACACAGCTGCTGCCTGGCTCAATAGGAAGTGGTGAGCGGAGGCCGAGTTTGCCACTTCTGTAAATGTCAGAGAAAGGCAGCTGCGAAGCGGCACTCAGGTTTCCTGGTTACGCCCGAGCCCACGGCCCCAGCACCTGGGCTGCAGTAGGAAACTGTGGCAGAGCGGATACGTGCCAGCTACGTTAGCAGGCGTGTTTGCAAAGCCCGTTGGCCTGCTGAGGGTTCTGTCCCCTGCAGAGTCACTGTCCAGCTCTGCTCTTTGGTTTTTCCTCCCACCCTCACTCTCTGTACCGCACCTAGCACCGTGGGGGCCGTCTTTTCAGTAGAAGCTACTTGGTGCTCCGCTGCCATCAACAACAGTTGCTGCTCGAATGCAGGAAGCTCATCCATCTGGGAAAAGCCATCAGTCACAGAAGTAGGGTGATGCATTTAGAAGGGGAAAACCCCACGTAATACTACTTGGTGCTGAAAGAAAAACTAACTCCGTCCTATCAACCTCCTTACCCCCAGCAGAACCCCCCCACCCCCCGAACAAGAGCTACAGGCAAACAACTGGACAGCACTGGAATTCCACACAAGACTTTATATTTCAGGGGACAAAGTCTTTCAACCGACTGGGCATGTGCAGATATTGAGCCGATTAATCTAATAAAGTGACCCGGGAGCTTTATAACTAAGTGCTAAAGGGAAGTGTCAAATGCCAGGTCATACTTCAGGGAGATACTAGTTTTTCACCCATTCAAGAACGTAGAAGGATCGCTGGAGCCTCGGAACATCGTCTCTGGCTGCGCAGGGGGCAGGCATCAGCTGGCTGCATTGCGGGTTACAGCAAGGACCATTGTTGCCACACAGATGAACACTTCCCCGCAGAATGTAGCAACAGAAGAGCACCCCGTGTTGTAACATTTAAACTTGTTCTGAGAACTGAGGCCAGGTTATACCAGACCCCGTCGGCATAAGGTACGTCCCTCCAGCTACGTAGAATCCATCACTGGAGTTAGCTCACCTGAAGCGGAGCTTGGCGGCATCCCCACAGTGGAGTACTGGACACCAGCGGGGGTGCCCGCGGAGTTTGATTTAGCGCATCTTCACTAGACCGGACACTAGCGGGGGTGCCCTCGGAGTTTGATTTAGCGTGTCTTCACTAGACGCGCTAAATCAAACTCCGGAAGATTGAGCGTGGCATTCTCCCATTTAGCATAGATAAGACCCAAGTGGGAAGCACTACACAAGACACACGCCATCCTCTCGCTAAACCTCTTTACCAGCCTGCGTGCTGGTGGACGCGCAGTCAATAATGTTGACAGGACACTGGATAGAGTGCAAGGCCTAGGCTACACGACCGTGGGCCGTTGATCTAAGTTACGCAACTCCAGCTACGTGAATAATCTACCTGACGTTGCCGTACTTAGATCATCCTTCCTGCGGTACATCGACCCCTAATGCTCTTCTGTCCACTCCACCTACTTCTCGATCTGGTGAAGTACTGAAGTCGATGGCAGAGCGCTCGCTAATTGATTTATCACATCTATCCCAGACATGAGAAATCTACTCCTAGTGGATTGATTGCTGCCTGTCGATGTAGCAAAGCCATGCCCTAGTTAGGCCCTACTGATCTGCGGGCGTGACCATGGGCGAGTCCTTTCCTGCCTCAATTTCCCCTCCCACCTTGTGTTTTATGCCTTTAGGTGATATGACAGATGGCAGCGTGGTGCTCTCCGTGCCCACAGCAGCGAACAGGGGCTGTCTAGCTGCGGCTTTGCTATTATTGGTTTGCAAAGCAGATCAATTCAAGCTCTCTTGGGTATAGTTATACATGCGACAATCACATCCCTCCTTGGACGGCAGTGTGGACACACCTGGGACCTCTACACAGCATTTTGCAGTTTGGTGCTTGTAGGTCCCACCATCATACAAACACAAATAAAATAAAGCCATGCCACAGATTGAAGACAACAATTCGCACAATGTAAATTTCACCTCCTCTCTAGGCCCACCTGGTGCTCGTATAAACACAGATCCCAAAATAAGGGATCTATTTGGTGCTCGAAAAGGAGTTTCAGACCCAACTGGGTTTTACCCAGACAGTCCTAGTTTTGACTTGTGTCTAGTTTTCAGGGGTCTGGTTATTAACCGGAAAGTCAAGTCAAAAGGGGGACCTGGCAGAGTCTGTTCAGACGTACTGAGTGGACATCAGAAGTTATTCTACCGCGGGGCAGCAGAGGGTGCTGGATCATTAATTCATATCAGCTCCTGTTCAGCCTCGACCACTTCCTACCTGCAGCCGCTCCTGTCCCAGGCCCGGAGTAAAGGGAGCCCAGCTGGGAGTCGGGAAGGGCGGATTAAGTGACAGGGACAGGGCCTCTAGGGTAAGTAAAAAGGTGGCAGCCCTAGCTTCCACGCTGACGAGGCAGCATACGGAGGTCTGTGCACGACAGGCCACGTGGCTGCCCATTCCTATGCAGCCAGTGGAAGATATTTGCTTATCCCCACCCCCAACCCCGGGTCCAAGCCTGGTCTCCTGACATCTAGCTCTGGGCAGACCGGATGCTGAGCCGCGTGGTTCCGTTTGCCGTGGGTGCCACTAACAGATTGAAAGTGGCAGTTTGCAGTGCAAGCGGGGCATCGCCACGGAGGGAAAGCAGAACGCGTGCTGTTTATAGGACGTGGGCGGGGCTGCCAGCCTGCACAGTTCTGTGCAAAGGTCGGATTAAGAAAAACCACGCGGATGATTCTGTGCAAGGGCAACCCAGGAGAAGAACCAAGCAATCCGCCACGACCAAGGGGATCGTCTGAACGTGACCAACCCCTTGGAATTGTGCCTCCCTGGCCCGTGGAAATGGAAAGTGGCACGTGGCCCAAAGTAAGGCCCGATGAGGACTGCGAGGCCAAAAATGTGACCGTCCCTCCCTAACTGCCCCTGCACAATCGCAGGTAGGAACCTGCGGACAGGCCTCTGCTAGTAGGGTTGCCAGGTGTCCGGTATTCAACCGGACAGTTCGGTATTCGTGTCCCCTGTCTGGTTAAAAAAACAAAACAAAAAACAAAACAAACAAACAGAAAATACTGGACATGTAAAACGTCCGGTATTTGCTATTTCCCTTGGACGGAAGCCCAGTGGGGACAATTTTCCCCTGCCACGTCTGGCTAGGGCAGGGGAGTGAAGTGCTGGGCCATTTAAAGGCACAGTGTTTTTGTTTTTTTTGTTTTTTTGGCTCAACAACTTTGGTCTCCTTCCCTCCCTTTTTTCCCCCTCAACAGAATTTGTTCCCCAGTGGGGTTTTTTTTTGGGAGGGCGGGGGAGGGGGAGAGAAGGTGAGATGTTCTGTATTTTTGGTTAAACCATCTGGCAACCCTATCCACTAGGCAGGGGATTGATGCGGCAGCGATCGATCCACCGGCCATCGATTTATCACATCTGCTTAGACACGATTAATCGATCTCTGAGCACTCGCGCCCGTCGATGCC